ATACACGGTGCCAAATCCCAGAAGACTGCTTTCTTCATTGACAATTTTAGGTTTGAAATATTTTATGAAGTAGTGTTATAAGTATGTAGTACATGAGTCCGGTTTTACTTTGTAGAGATTTGCCAGTGAAAGTGGAAACTAAGAGGAAAAATTAGAATTAACTTGACTTGTCATATATCATGTACAATGATCTACAGTGACGAAATCAATCAATCAATTAACATTTAAGTTCAGGAATTAAAATAACCCATAAGAAATTTAGGAATTAGTCCATTTAATCCTAAAGTATGAAGTAATTTGTTGACCTCACAGTATGTATTACTTGTATTTTATATGAGCTATTTCTCAGGACTAATGACTTTCTCCTGTGGTGCAACAACCCAGAGCTGAACCTTGGCCTCCTTTAAATTATGCCTCAAAACTTAACTGTCTGGAGATTCTCTTTTCCAGTTTCTCAGTTTGAATCAGTAATTTTGGTTTACTTGTGTTGATTTCTAAGCCAATTTCTCTTGCTGCTATAGCCAATTTGTTGTATATTTCAGTTGCATCTGACAAGAACCATGAGAAAATAGCAATGTCATGAACATAAGCAAGAACCTGTGTGGATTTGTATTCTGTTGTCCTTGTGGATTAATCATCATCATCATTTATTTACATTCCATAAATCCACTGCATATAGGATAAGGAATTAGTCATTGATAATACAAATAACACTACATAGAAATAATAATATAAATAACAATATAAGACATTCAGTACCATAATCACAGTTGATTATTGGAGTCAAATTTACAATCAAAGTATTATTCCAAAGAATAAAATGAGTTCATCAACAAAAATCTTCTTAAAACAATTTTAAAATGTTTAACATCTTGAGCCAGGTTTCTTATATTAGGAGGAAGCCAATTAAAAACCTTAATACCTTAATACCATGGTAATACACTCCTTTCTGAAATACAGTCAACTTACATGTAGGATAATTGAATTTATTATTATATCTTGTATTCCTATTATATAACTCAGAATTTAACTTAAATTGATCTTTATTATTAACTACAAACATTGCAAGAGAAAATATATACTGAGATTGAAGGGGTAAAATTTCCAGTTCCCTGAACAATTCCCTACATGAATCTCTGTTCCCAGAGTTCATTAGAGTTCTAATCGCCCTTTTTTGCAACCTAAAGATATGAATACTATAAGGGGAATTACCCCAAAAAACCAAACCATAGGTCATAATTGAATGGAAGTAAGAAAGGTAAATCATTCTTAATGTACCCTGAGACATGTAAGATTTTAGGGCTCTAATCACGTAACATGCGGAGCCCAATCTAGACATTAACCAATCCACATGTCCATTCCAAGACAATGTGTTATCAATAATAAGCCCCAGAAACTTAGTATTTGTAGTGTTAACAATCCGATCATCATCATCCTCAATATGAATATCCATCGGCTGGCGGTTCTTAGTCAGAAATTCGATAAAATGTGTTTTCTCAAAATTTAATGACAATAAATTATCTTGAAACCAATCATTTATGTTTTTAAATATTAAAGAAGCCTTGAATTCATAATCAGCAGACCTAGGGTTAGTAATGACTATGCTAGTATCATCAGCAAAAATAATGGGTTTGGACTTGTTCGATATGATATGATAGTAATATAGTATGCATAGTAAATTAAAAAGCAGGAGAGCCAAGCCATCTCTTTATTTTAATCCTTGTCCTGTAGTTATTGAATCTGTTAACTCTGTCTGCACCCTCACCTGACTTTCTGTTTTTATCATTGTAAGTTTTACCAGTCTAATGATTTATTTATTTATTTATTTTGTCTCTATAGATCATTGTTACATGATATAGGACAAGTCAGTTACTGTACATTGGCTGATTACAATAAGAGAATAAAGTTACATTACTTAAAATG